TTTCATACATTTCAAAACCCTTGTTGCCTTCCAACTGAAGGTCATATATAATAACTGTGATGATTGACTGGTAGATATGACCAGTTGAAGGTCAAACTCAGCAGGTGTAGGTGTTCTGATTAAATAACAGATAAGAACAAACATATGACCAGATAACATTCCAAGAACATAAAGTGAAGGTCACTTAAACTATTATTTCAGCTGTATAGTAGATGTCTATGAAAATATAAATAAGGACATGACTGTCTTTAGGTTCAAAAAGGGAGACTTTACAAAGATGGCAATGATAGTTTAAGCAAAAAAAGTCATTCTTATGTTGAGGGAAAAAAGCCTTGCAAATGTCCATAAGTTTTCATCTTATTTTTTACAGAAAAAAACTTTAATGGACTAAAAACTGTGTTTGTGTTTTTATTTACTTCTGATTTTTTTTTTTTTGTTGAATAAGTAGGGGTACTATGTTCCCCATACTCATTCACATGGGAGTTATGGTTGGAGTCTGGGGGAAAGGGGATTCCAAATTCCGAGAAGGCACCCCCACAACCATCGGGCCAGAGTTGTGGGGAAGAGACCCTTGTCCTCATCAACATGAGGACAAGGTGCTTTGGGGGGGTGACCCCTCCCACAAAGCACCTCGTATGTTGAGGTCATGTTTCCTGGTGTGGTTCCAGAAAGGGGTGTTTGCTCATCACCCACCGCCTGGCTGCATGTTCAGATAAGGGTCTGGTATGGATTTTGGGGGGGCACACCATATTTTTTTTTTCTTAATGGAGTTCCCCTTTTGTAATCTCCTACTACATTAAAATGTATTCAGACGTATTTGAAGAATCAGAGACAGGCTCAGACTATTTGTATCCGGTCATGTCTCCCAGTTCAAATTACATCCAGGTCCAATTTTCCAGACCATCTTACAATCTGTTTCTATAAGGTGAAACATGCAGGCTTAAAGCAGTTGTTTTTAATAAAAAAATGTTTAACCTTTAATAAAAAAGATGTTATACTTACCTGTTACCAATGCTATTGCACAGAGTGGCCCCTTACCTCCTCTTCTGGGGTCCTGCCACTCTGCCTCTTCTCTGAGTAGCAAGCCGCTTGCTACTGGGGCACTCGTGCGGGCGTACACCCAATCTGGGCTGTGTGTGGCCACTGGCACACGCAACACACATGGTCCCCCCCCTTTTGATATTTATATTCACAGGATTTGATTGGCAGGAGCAGGAGCCTATGGTCTATTTTGAATACATTAAGAGTGGAGAAGAGCTGCTGCAGATGGGGCAGTGCTGGATCAAGAATGGACTTGGGTAAGTCTTTAAGGGAGGGCTGGGGGGAGCTGCTATTGAAAGGATTTTACTCTAAAGCAGAGATTACATTAAGATAAAACCTTTTTGCCTTTATAACCACATTAAAGCTCAACTCCTGTCAAAACTAAAAAAGGTTAGAATTTCATTTAGGTTCTTAATGCTATGTGACCACTAGGGAGTTACTTCTTTCAGATTTTAAATATTGCCTGTGCCCCCAACAGAGAAGATTTATAAATGTTAACCTGCAAAAATAAGTTAAAGTGGTATGTGGCAAGACTAAGGACCATGTCACACTGACGTCTTCTCCAATTGCTTCTTCTGATGGCCAAAAATGCTGTTGAACTTTAATCCCTAAGGAATCCGTGATGAAGCAATATGCAGTATTTCACTTCTTCAACCAATGAGGAAGCAACACCATAAAGGTTAACATGGTGAACAGTGGCTCTAGTGCTGGAACATGTTCCTGATCCTGCAGCCACCGTCTGAAAAAACCCCCGTGACAGCATAACTGGAAGAAGCTCTCCGTACAAGCTGTCAATTTTTAAAAACAGTGCGCCTTAGCAGCTGTTGGCTTGTAGTTTTAAATGAGTTATCATACTGCTTTGAATGCTGTGGTAGCTCATTGAGGCTTCCTGTCAGAAGTATCGGCTTGACCATATGGGATGTGCGAGCAAGCCAACACACTGATGGTCTGCAGGAGACCTGCATGGCATCAGTAATAAGCCGATCACTAGTGGAATACTTTAAAGGCTCCTACTACAAAAAATAATAAATGCACATTTTTTTACCTGCAAAACAATGTGCATTTATTATTTTTTGTAGAAAGGTGAACTTATCCTTTAATTTCTTGAGAGGAAAAAACAATGTAGGAAGCCCATCAGCAATCAAACCATGAGAGATGGGTAGCCAAAAAAGACAAAGACACTAAGTGGCACCTAAAGGAGAAGTATAGGCAATGTTTTTTTGGCTATACTTCTCTTGTGGATAACAGGAGTGCAGTTAGTGCTGCACTTCTGTAACCCGTCACAGAGCCAGTCCAGGCTTTGAAAAGATCCTGATGATATGGTCGGGATCTGCCCATAAGTCTTACCGGCAGCTGGCTCAGCCTCTCAGCAAGCTGCTGAAAGCCTGAGCCTGCTGCTCCTTCCCTCTCCACAGCCCAGTGCACACCAGTGAGAGCTGAAGGAACAGAACAGAGATTGATAGTCACCAGCTCTCTGCAGGCTGAAGATGAAGAACTGAGTGATCAGCGGTGTTTGATCACTCAGTTCTCAGTCTTAGAGGTCGCTGGAAACAGCTGCAGCTAGAATTGGTGCTGCAGACATCTAGAATGAGTAGTATTTTTTTTTTTTTCTAATCCCATACTTCTCTTTTAACCTATATCTAGCAATGCATATGCTGCTCTTTTGTAAGACACATAAGCAACGAGCAGCAGGGGGGTTACCCGGAAACCTGTGTGATTATCAGAAATCCAGCATCAGGTTTTTGTCGTCCTCCTGTACAACATGATACTTGTTACCTAGTAATGTAAGTACATTTCCCTTTAGGGGATGAAAGACACCAATAATTATGGATAGAGGTTCTATACCTTCATATCCACCAGCTCCAGTCTGATTTTATTGATGCTTGATTTTATTGATATTTATGACTACCCCAGTGAAGGTATTTCCCCACTCCTTATTCTGTCTGCCATTCATCAATATCAACATAATGGATAAATAAATGGGGACACAGACAACAATAAAAGGTTGACAAAGTGTCTAACCCTTTCACATTATTGCCATAAGATAAAACTCTAGGCTGGAGTTTAAAGAAAACCAGTCAAAAATAGCCGTCTGTAAGAATTTTGAGTATTGACTCAGTTCAGCCTCAGAGCTGGGTGTGAGTGCTCTTATTTACTTGTATTTTCCTGCCAGGGGGGGGGTGGGGGGGGTGGTTGTTAAATTGACTTGTCTCCTGCCTGAATTAGGGGTTGCTAACAAAAACTTTGCCTGGCCTGCTTTGTAGGCAGGTTGCGTACAGTTAGTTAGCTAGAGCACTGCCTCAGTCGTGAAAGAGTTAAAATGTTCATGCACCATTTTCCCGAGTTTTCTCTCAGTGGGCTTCTTGGATCCAACTTACTGTTCCTGTGAGTTATAAAAGGGACATGGGTCCAGATCCTGGGTTCTGAGCCTGCCTTTCTCTCTGTCAGCTGTGTCATCTCTGGCTTTGGGTTAGTGTCACAGAGCCTGCAACATGTAGGGGGAATTCTGGGACCTACAGTCTGCCCTGAAGAACACCAGCCGCTGGAGCACTGCCCTAAATGGACTTTCCTTACCATGGACTTTCACCTGGATAAGTATGCTGGGGCAGCCAAGCCTGAGTTAGTCATTACAGGTTCCCTAAACTAGTGCCTAAGTCATTCTGTAAAGTGTTGGAACTTTGCCTTTACCTGGTCTGAAGTTATTAAAGGGGTGTACAGAAGTAAATGACACACGCAAAGTCTGCAGTCAGTATCAGTAGGCACACTGGGGTATGAAGACAGCAAGTGGTTACCAAGGGTAATGGAGGTCTAACAAGCAGCCTATTGTGAAGCATGTTCTGGTGATGGGTGGGATATCCTCTTGCAGCAAGGGAATTGTTGTTGGCATTACCTCACCTGGCAGTTCATCTCCCATAGCAATGGGAGCAGATCAGCACATAGAGGTCCCCAGCCTGTGCACCAGATGAGAGAGTTAATACAGAGCACGCATCAAGTCCGTGCTAGGTGCTTGGCGTAGCTCCATTCTGTTACTGCGAGTGAGGTAATGGAGATACACTGGACAGATAGAGTGGGCATAGACTCGGCGTGTCCCTCCTAAATGCAACTGTGACAGTGAAGGTAACATTGACAAGGAGATGGAGAGAGTTAACTGGAGTTCAGTTTACTGTTAAAGTGTACATGGTGTTCGGCCATCTCAAAAGTTGGAGGTCTGCCTTTAAGATTGAGGTATCCCTGAAAGAGGCCTTTACTGTACCCCAGGCACTTATGGAAACAGTACAAATAAAGGTACTTCATGTGCAGAAGAGTGACCCCGGACCTCTAAATGTAGCCCTGAAGAACACCAGGGGGTAGACCTCTTGGCATTAGCCCACAAAATCGTGTCCAGTACATGGAGATGTCCCTGACCACTCCACTCACATGTTGGATGAGGATAGAATTTTCATAACAAAATGTTTAGTTTTTCTCATGTAATCCTGACAACACCTTTGTCATATGACTGCTTTAGGTGCCTGTTGTCGGCTTTCCGTTTAATCAGGAGATGGGACAACCTTACAGTCTAATACATCTTCTCTTGCAGGGAAAAATAAAAGTATATAATCAAGAGTAAAGATTCAGGTCATAACAAAAGCCCATTGGTGCCCCAATATCTATGACCAATACAGTAAAGAAGTGAAAAACTATAATGTACCAATAAGTTTTAAAGCATGATAACCAATCAGAAATGACCTCTTAGCTTGTACTGTAACTGCTGTCAATGGAAACATGGCTACAATGGATTACTTTATATTATAACAAATCTTTCTTTACTGCTTTTTATTTGTATAACCTTGCTAAATAAAACCACACTTGTTAGAGACGATTGTTTACCTGAACTATTTATTGAGTAAGGCACATGTAAAGTCCTTTTCATATGTGACAGAATCTCTTTCTGATTTCACTCTTTGTTCTATTAATGGCAGGTCGACGAATATGTGCTGGAGAGACTCTTGCAAAAAATGGAGCTGTTTCTTTTTTTCACAAGTCTTCTGCAAAAATTTACGTTCCAGAAACCTCCGGAAGTTCATGATGTGGATCTAACACCAGCCGTTGGACTTACCACTCCACCAATGCCTCATAAGATTTGTGCTATTGAACGTTTTTAACACGCCAGAATAGACTGAAAAGAACTGTTTCTGATGTACAGCATGTTTCCAGTGTTGGATTCAATATTTTTTAAAGTTCAAAATCAGTTTCCTGTATATTATAACTGTACTGTAAAAGAAGAACAAGATTAACCACTTTACAACCGCTCTGGACAGCGTGGTTGTCCAGATCTGGAAGGGCATTGTATGATGTCCTCCCAACCCCCCCCCCCCCCCCCCCGTTGCGCCACCGGGGTGTGCCCCCAGAGGTGCGCACCATGGCAAGGTAAAAGTCCATCACAGCGGCCTTTTAGCATGTGATCAGCTGTATCCAATGACACAGCTGATTACAGAGTAAATACAGTTGCTGGTTATCGGCTGCCCTTTCCTCACTCTGTCACAGCGTGAGGAAAGTACTGTCGGTAACCGGCAACTGTCACAGAGGACATCTTCACTGATAATCAGGGCACTGATTATGAGTGCAGCCCAAAAAGTGCCCAGCAGTGCCACCCATCAGTCCTGCCAATCAGTTCTGCCAGTCAGTGCCCATCAGTGCCACCTATCTGTACCCATCAGTACTGCATATCAGTGCCTCCTCATCAATCCCCACCAGTGCCACCTCATCAGTGCTGCCTATCATTTCCACCTCATCAGTGCCCATCAGTGCTGTCTATCAGTGTAGCCTCATCAACGCACATCAGTGAAGGAGAAAATTTACCTGTTTGCAAAATTGTATATTAGAAACAAAGAAAAACTTTTTTTTTTTCAAATTTTTTTGCTTTTTTTTTGTATACAGTGCAGAAAATAAAAAACCAAGTGGCGATTAAATACCACCAAAAGAAAGCTATATTTGCGTGAAAAAAAAGGATAAACATTTAATTTTGGTTCAGTGTTGAAACTGTCATTCAAAGTGCAACAGTGCTGAAAATTGGCCTGGGCAAGAAGAAGAAAAAGTACCCAGTAGGCAACTGGTTAAAAGAGAAGTATGGGCTTTAGAAAAAAAAAATTATACTTACCTAGGTGGATGCAGCATCGATCTGCTGCTGCATCTTTCTCACATTGGCACTGCACAGAGAACTGAATAATCAAACACTGGTTTCACTCAGTTCTCCCCCTGCACTCTGAGCTGAGAGCCGTGACTGTCAGTCTCTAGCTTTCTGCTCTGTCTCTTCAGCACTCACTGAAGGGCTGGGCTGTGGAGGGGGCACAAGCTGCTGAGAGCCTGAGCCAGCTGCCGGACCAGGCTTCTGGGTTGATTCTAACCACATGGTCAGGATCTTTTCAGAACCTAGGCGAGTACTGTAATGTCAGCTGACAGCAGGCTTCAGCCTGCCATCAACTGAAAAAGGGTCGCAGAACTAACTGAAGGGTGTGTACATTTCCTCCACTCTGCTCTCAGATTACACTCAGCTCTCCTATCTGTTCTCTGGAATATGTGACTTTAGATCCCTGCCCACTGCCTTCTGTAGCTCAGAAATGTGTGTTTTAGCAGGCTTTAGAGAAGAGATTGCTTGAGATAAACAGGTAAAATGTGTCTCTGTGTATCACCTAAGTCTAGACACTTCAGTGGGTATATGTAAGGATTTACAACTACTTTAGGATAAACTGATATAACTGAAATTGTTGTCATGTTGGCTGGCAGTAATAAGGTTAACCATCCAAAGGTTCTGCAAGTGGAATGGGAGATAGTGGTTTTTTGATGTTGGCAAGTTATTCACACTGTGCATAGGGTAGATATGGATGTTGTTAACTTTATGTCTAGGCTTTTATCCAACGGATATTTTGATTGTTCCCTTCTACATTTGGCTCCATAATGTAAAATAAATAAAATCTCCGACAGGGAAAGTTGAACCCTTTCATTATAGCAGCATCAGGTGTGCAGATTTAGGAATTCAGTGCAGAGATCTCACTTAGAGCTCATTTATACTTGCAGCTGGGGATGGTAAAAATAGACAACTGAGTCGATTTTTACTACCCCTAACTGTGCACCCTGTTAAATTTAAAAGATAGCTAGATGGGGGTGTACACAAGCATCACGATCGAGGCCAAAATTATGCCTCCCTTTTGTGTTCAGTGATGGTGCTGCAGTCAAGCAAATGGTGCTATGCTGCAACCACCCTCCAACCAGGGTTTAAATAGGTGGTGAGAAGTTGACATATTGCCTCCTCACCACCCCTTAAATGGGTCGCAGCCATTGCCATTAGTGTAAACCTAACAGTCTCAAGGAGATATCAAGTGATTCATACCAACATTCCAACTCATAAACCAATAAATGCTAATTGGGTGGACTAACCCGTTAAATTATAAAAAATTATACATTTAAAGGTAAACCATTTTCTGGCTGTTTTCAGGGCTATCTAAAGATATAGCTGGTCTCACTTTTAACTATTTCATCTATTTCATTATACTTTATCGTTATTACAATATGTAAACATTACTGTATACTGCATTTTCAACCACAGATTGGACATCAATTTCGGATTTATTGTACACTACTTTATTATTCTTGTACATATATTTGATTGAGTTAAGGGTTTAGAAGTTTATATTATTTTATTCTAGATACACATTGCTTTATTATGTAGCTTTAACAAAAAATATTTCTGTGGTGGAAGAATGTTTCTAATAAAAATTTGCTGAAAAAGTTTTTGTTGTTGCAATGTGAGTTAATCCAAAAAAAGGGGGAGAAAAAAAAAAAATATATATATATATATATATATAAATTTTATTTGGATTGCTAACATAGATAGATAGATAGATAGATAGATAGATAGATAGATAGATAGATAGATAGATAGATAGATAGATAGATAGATGGCTGCAGTGCTGTCAAAAAATATTTGCTCCCTTCCTAATTTTTGTTTTTGTTTTGCATATTGGTCACACTTAAATGATTCAGATCATTAAACAAATTTTAATATTACACAAAGATAAAACGGGTCAATAGAAAATGCAATAGAAAATGCATATAAGAAAAAGTAATTCCCCTCTTTAAACCTAATAACTGGCTAAACCCCCCTTGACAGCAACAATTGCAATCAAGCGTTTGCGATAACTGGCAATGAGTCTTTCACATCTCTGTGGAGGAATTTTGGCCCACTCTTTTTTACAGAATTGTTTTAATTCAGCCACATTGGAGGGTTGCCACAGCATCTCAATCAGATTTAAATCCAGACCAAGGGCGGACTGACCATTCGAGCACCCGGGCACTGCCCGAGGGCCCGGGGTCAGTAGGGGGCCCCATGAAATGCCCCTGGTACCTTTTTTATAGGGTTTTTTGAGTGTGGGCAAGGACACAGGGGCCCCATGATCCCCTATTGCCTGGGGGCCCCATGAGTTGTCAGTCCACCCCTGATCCAGACTTCGACTAGGCCAATCCAAAACCTACCTTAATCCTTAATTCTGTTGTGTTTTTTTTTTGTTTTTTTTTTTTTTTAGCCATTCAAGGTATACTTCCTGGTGTGTTTTTGGATCATTGTCCTGCTTCACAAACTGATGGAGGGGCATTCTCCTTCAGAATTTTCTGATAGAGTGCAGAATTCATGCTTCCATCAATTATGGCAAGTCGTCCAAGTCCTGAAGCTGCAAAGCAGCCCCAGAACATCACACTACCACCACCACGTTTGACTGTTGGTATGATGTTCTATTGCTGTTTTAGTTTTACGTCTGATGTAACAGGGTGCAAACTTTCCAAAAAGTTCAACTTTTGTCTCATTAGTCCAGAGAATATTTTCCCAAAATCTTGGGGATAATCAAGATGTTTTTTGGCAAATGTGAGACGAGCGTTTGTGTTCTTTTTGGTCAGCAGTGTCTTTCGTCCTGGAACTCTCTCATGGATGCCATTTTTGCCAAGTTTCTTTCTTATTGTGGAATCATGAACACTGACCTAAACTGAGGCAAGTGAGGCCTGCAGTTCTTTAGTAGTGATGGGTTGAACACCCCCCCTGTTCGGTTTGTGGTTAAACATTCAAAACTAACGAAAGTTCAACCGTGAACTTCAAATTCAATGCAAGTCTATGGGACTTGAACTTGTAAATTCAAAAGTGCCCACTTTGAAGGCTTATATGCAAGTTATTGGCCATAAAAGGGGTATGGGGACTTGGCACTGCCCTGAGGGACATGAATCAGGGGGAAAAAAAGATTTTAAACAGTACCATTTTTAAAGGGGTGGTCATTTTTCATTGCTGAAAAAAAAAAACAAAAAACAAAAATATCCTTTATATATCATGACTGGGGGGGTCCCCTTAAACTACCTGCAAAGTTGCACATCTGTTAGGTCTGGTAGGAAGGTTAGGAGAGACCCCACAGTAATTTTTTTTTTGTTTTTAAAATGCGTGGGGTTCCCCCTAAAAGCCCTACCAGGCTTCAAGACCTGGTAGGACTTTTAAGGGGAATCCCACCTCCCAAAAATGGGGGGAAGCATGGGGTTCCCCCTAAAAGCCATACCAGGCCCTTTAGGCCTGGCAGGACTTTTAAGGAGAACCCCACCCCCCAAAATGGGGGGGTCCCCAGTGAATTCCTACCAGACCCTTGATCCGGCACAGGCCTGGTAGGCCTGGAAAGGGGGAAGGCGAACAAGCGCACCCCCCGCCTGCAGCTTATCAGGTCATGTGCCCTCAGCACCAAAAAAGTGTAAAATATGAATAAAAACACAAGAACAGTTTTTGACAAGTCCTTTATTTTAAAAAAGCCAAAAAAATGGTTCATCATTGTAATCTATCTTCAATCACGGCATCCAGCATTGCACAGCGATGCCAACTCGCCACAATTTATTAAAAAAATAAACCTGACGCCAGCCGACCTGTCCACACCCACCGAGTTCTCGCCACAATCTGACATTTGCTGGTCAGTTGTAGACAATTGGGCAGAGCTAATGGTGATGTCACCTCTAGCTCTGCCCAATTGTGCTGTGATTGGCCAAAGCATTGTGAGAGCACAGTGCATTGTGGGGCATGGTGGGCGAACAGCCCACCAAATGCACTTACCCTTCGAGTGTTTGCTGAACACACGAATGGCCAATG